ACAAAATTAAGGATCATACTTAAAACATAGCAATAGGCTTGTTGTTAAGTTATTGGTGATTGTTATCAAAAAAATTTGCAAAACATTTTTTCCTATAAAATTGTAATGAAGGCTATTAATTACATTTAAACATTGCAATTTTAGTTGCAAAGTAATTTGAATTTCTCAGCGAATGAATACAATTTATTTGCGGACAGCAAATGTATAATTTTCAAATGTATTCCTCACAAACGGTAGTTCTTGTTGTGTTGACTGCGCTGTGAGTTATGGTACTGTCGCGATTAGAATTTCTACATACAAATTTTGTAACAATTTCAATGTGTGGCTGTGCATGAATGTACATTACATTTACTCACGTGTAACAAATTTAATATTTATATATAAAGTCAATTCTTAATGCTAAATAACGTATCGGTGGTATTAACATAACGACCACGTCTACGACTTCGTCTACGAATACGTCTACGACTTCGTTTACGAATATGTCTACGACTTCTTCTACGAACACTACTACGAATTCGTCTACTAATAGGTCTACGAATGCATAAATGATTTCATCTACGAATATACCTATGAAAGCGTTTATGGCTAATGTTACATCTACGCCTTAGACCACATGTATACATGGAAACGTAAATCTTCAAAACTAATATTGTATACATGCGTCGCAAGTATCATGTATCATGCGCTCTGTACACATACCTACGAATCGTCCGTGGTCAGTACAGGCATAGCAACTACACGAGTAAAACGAAAAAATGTGGATTTTCTCGATCTTGAAAATCACAGCCACTCTTCCTACAGTGATCTTGACAAATAGATAGGGGGGAGAGAGATAAAAAGTCGGCAACGCGTATCTGAGTAAGTCAGCTAGCGACTAAAATCGCTGAGTCTCGAATATTACGTAGCTTTGTGTACGTAGGGAAATTTTAATTATAAGTCAAAGACATTATTCGACAACTTTATTGAGAAAAAAGGTCTATAAGCTAACATTTCGTAAGTAAGGGGCGAATTTATTTGACGACGTCATTTGTCAAAATAACAAGATTGAGGTCTAACGATCGTTGGAGAGATATGATTCGGTATTTTATCACTCTCAGCGGTTTTTATATGATCGGAATATTTTTAACGAGACAATTACTCTATCATTTTGATATATTTCTATTTTGATTGTTTACTCTTCTATTAATTTGATTTTGAATTCTAGATCTCAAAAGTTGAATTTGGATAATTTTTTTCCACTATTTTAGAATTTTTAATTGAAATTGTAATGGTTAACATTTCGATGGTTTTCATTCCTCATTGACGAGGTTTTCGCGTAATGTTTTACCTCGCACTGCCGCGATGTGGAATACTCTATCGGTATTTCTAAACAGTTACGACTTAGGGCCTTAGCCATCAAGTAAAACATACAATTTCCTTAAAGGCCGGCAACGTATCTGTGTTTCGGTGCTGAAGCGATCCGATGCTCGTTTGCCCCCTTATCGTAAAAAAATATGAGCAATACGTACGTAGTAAAACAGCAAACGGAATCAATTAGGTAAGTTTTAACGTTTCTATTCAATCGGTGCGGTACTCGACACGACCCCGATTCTGAGAGCTGGTTTCTCGCTGATTTTTTTTAGTTCAATAATTTTTAAAATGTCAATTTGTTATAGATTTTACAGATTACTCTTCATAAATCTGTTAGGACAAAACGAGTCTTTTCGCGCGGAATTAAAAAAAAACTTAGTTAATACCCTATGTGTTCTTCCAGACTATATTCTATATGTATGCAAAATGTCATCGAAAGAAGACTGATTCACAAATAAAAGATAGTTTTAGTAAAGTCATCAACTAAGAAACAAGACTAATTAAGGTCCGATTAAAGGAAATTTCTTGATAGACAAATAATTCTTAAAAATCATTCGTTCGTCATATCTGCTTCAAATTTTAAAAACTGCAGGTGAAACTTACAGGAAAAAAAATGTCAAGTTATCATAATATTTTAGGAACACTTTAATTAATGTTAAATAGTTTTAAGTTTATTTCTGATAAACTTATAATACAATTTCTTCTTTATAAAATTAATGGAGATGTTAAGTTTTAATAATTTAACTTTAAATTTTTAAATAAATATTAATTTAATTTCTTAAATCTAATAACTAAATTAATAAATTAATTTCTCTTTGTAAATATAATTCTTATAAGTGGAAACAATTCCGCGTTCCGTCTTATGAGTGTGCGTCCCAGAAGCCTAATTTAGTCCTCTTTCCCTTCCCACCCTTTTTCTTATAAGGAAATTATGGGAAGTGGAAGTGGACTTTCCGGATGAGAGGATGCATGGAATGGGAAAATATTTTCTTTCTGTGCATCCTCTCCTCCGCCGATTTGGGGTAGGCAACGCATATGCAATTGCCTGTCTATGGGCAACGGTTACTTCGCTTATTCAGCGATTTCAGGTGGCCGCTCGCTCGTTTGCCACCTTATAATATATAAAAAAATTAAGTTGTAAATTTCACATTTATTTAGCTCACCGAGGCATATTTATTGAAACACTGAACAATTTGAGTTATATTTTGTGTAATAATTCAGAATTTGAAATAACCAAATACGAACGTTTTGTTTGTTGAACAATATTTATGAATGTCCTGTTCCGTAAATATAAACATAGTCAGTTGAAACTGGTTTTATCCAAAATATTTATAAGCGTTGAATGCTACAAAATTTGTTTTTAGTTGTTTGAGGAATATTTGTTTCTTTTGTAAACTATTAACTAACATCATTATTTTTCAAAATCTATACTTGTAGTTTTCTTAAGTGCCAGTAGCCTAATGGTGAAAATAACGGATTTCCGATGGCGTGGTCGAGAGTTCGAAGCCCACTATTCGACTATTGTCGTTAACCATATGCTAGCACAAGCCTTTACCACAGTTGGAACGGTGCAAGAAATAATAGTAAATTAACCAAAAAACTGCTTAATATTTATAATTAAAAAAAACTTGTAAATCATTGTATTCTATGAAAAGCAAGTGAATACTTGCTAAAAATTTAGATTGATTTTATGAATCCTAGAAAAAATTAATAGCAAGAAAATTTGCATGCACGAAATTGCTATTAACTAATATAATATAATATTTTGTGAACGACATATTGAAAAGTTTATGTATGAAGGGTATATCTTTTATGTAAAACGAAGTAAATGTTCTCGACGAGATAAAACAGAAAGATATTTTTAAAATTGTGTAGTAGAATATTTGAAAGGTTTTCTTTGTAAAGAATAAGTGCCAGTCTGACCACAACAAGGATATCTTCACCAACAAGCCATTAAGTCTGGCAATACATCTTATCTGACACTTTAAAATATTGTCCTCAAAGTAAATCCGTCTTTTTAATATACTTTGTCATTTTGATGTTATTATTACTTTAACAGTGTTAGAGAGTTCGAAGTTGAAACAAACGTAACGAAATGTTCAAACTTTCGTGAGACATTATAATAAACACGGCTAAACACTCACGTATATACGTCCGGTGGCGGCACCGACTAGTTTCGAGCCCATCGGGGGCCCTTCATCAGGATGAGTGGTACTGGTATTATTTCGCGGACGCGGCCCGTCGGCTCGAAACTAGTCGGTGCCGCCACCGGAAGTATATACGCGAGTGTTTAGCCGTTTTTATATATCAGTAACGAAATGTATTCGAAATTCTAGTCATATTGTTTTACATCTTGTTTAGATGGATGGATGAATGGATGAAGGTATCTCCGCAACGGCTCCACAGATCAGTTAAATCACATCACAGTTGTAAAACATAGTCTGAAAGAACAGATAGACTATTTATTAAGTAATTTTAATTCCGAGATTATTTTTAAATCCGATTAACGAGCTGCGGATGACAGCTATTTAAAAATAGATTTAATTACCGCAGATGTATACGTTTAGTTTCGACCCCGACATGTACCAATGCTTTTCGCTTTCGAATTTCATATATACATTTATTCAACGTTCTTATGGTTAAGAAAATGTGATGCAACCTGCATATATCAGCTAAGAAAGTATTATACGTACTGTTAGACATTATTAGTTAGAATCCTTTAGCACGAATGGCGCGCTTTAGTTACCAAGTCAAGTGTGAGATTGATTAAGGAGGGGACATAAACGTTGGCATTTTAATATAGCTAGTGTTACGCCGATACACCGGCACGGTGTCGGATTTTCTTCCTAACGGTATAGATACTTGGTATATAGTAATTTATGAGTTGAAATAACTGATTATATTATTTACAGATTTTGAAATCGGACTCTAAGTTTATAATTAATGAAATATTTTATTCAAATAAAAATAAACAGATGAAAAGCTGAATGTAACACAAGTATATATGTGTCCAATTAATTAAATTTAAAACCTGACATGTAGTGTATCATCGCATATTTTTTTAGTATACTAGTTTTTACTGCGACTTCGTCCCGTGTAATTAAAAATACTTAATTAGTAGCCTATGTGACGTTTCAGGCTGTGTTCTACATCTATGAGTAATTTCAGCGAGATCCATGCAGCCATTCTGGATATATTTTCTAACAAACATCCATCCGTCCATACTTCTAAACATGAATATTTAACATTAGTTAGTTAGTATGATGAGAAAACTGCACTCGTATGATTTAATGATGTTAATATATCGTAAAAATTTGTGACGTAAATCGATTAACTAATAAACTTACTAATATTATAAATGCAAATATTTAGATGGATGGATGTATGTTTGTTCGAAGGTAACTCCAGAACAGCTGAACGGATCTCGATGAAATTTAGAACAAAGTCTGGAAGAACACGTAGGCTACTTATTTTGTTTTTATCTCCACGCAGACGGAGCTTGCGATAGCTAGTAATAATATGAAGCTAAGCGTTTGGTTAAACACAAAATAAAAACACATAAAGGAATTAATGAATCATATCTTTATTTTAACTCAATATAGCGTAGACTATATTTAAAAAAAAATGTACGTTTCATCAAATCATAATGAAAAATACCGCATGATATTATTTTCTGTTTTCATCTCAACTAATACATTACGGCAAAAAATGAATATGAAAGTCGGAGTACCTGAAACATGACATAAAATATTAATTTTACTAACATATTATTACTATGAAAAATGTGTAAAAATAACACTAATGTATTATGAAATTATGCTATTAGGATTTACATGAATAACATTCTCTCTCTCTCTCCGCCTAGCATGCATCCCAAAAGGTAGAGTCAACTTTCCCAATCAGTCTCTTCTACTTCGCTCTGTCCTCGATATCTTCTACTGAGACTTGGCACTTAAATTCAACTGAATGAGTCAGAACTGTGTCACATTATAATTAATATTATAAAAGCGAATGTATGTTAGAAGGTATTTTCAGAATGGCTCCATGGATATCGCTGAAATTTGGCATAGATGTAGAACATAATTTGGAAGAACACATTGCATAATTACGCCCGGACAAAGTCGCGGGCGAGATCCAGTCTTTCCAAACAAATAACTGATACCTTCAAAATCTTCATTAAAAAGATAATATTACTTCGCTTTCTTCAGAAATGATAGGCGATAAATTAGTGACGACATTAAACATAGATAAAATAGGAAAGCAAATTTTAGACTGAAATTAAATCACAACAAATAAGCTATCTCTTTACAGTATTTTTTAGATAAAATAAGTAAATTATTAGTATAAGTAAACTTAACTTGCGATGCACTCACTGTAATGAAACTATTGTAAGATAAACATAAGACCCCGAACGCTGTCATGCGGATCGGCACCTGACTTTGCTGTACCGTAACCACGACCAGGCTACGCAGACCCTTGCTCATCCTGCCGTATTCCCAGCCGCAGTGGAAAACGGAATCCGAGATCAAAGACGCCTGCAAAAATGAAAGCTTTAATACGAAGAATTAAAGTAATGCAATGAAAAATCTTATCTATAACATGTCAGAAAATAAACGGATTTATATTTTTTTATATTATAAGATGGTAAATAAGCTAACGTCTGTCTGGACATCTCCATGAAAGAGGTTATTATCTTTTAATCGAGGATAAAAAAGATGCACAGAAAGAAGATATTTCTCCTTCCTTAAGTCTTTTTTTTACTGTCATCTACTTTCCTTTCCCATCATTTACTTCAAAGAAAATGCTGAGTAGCTAAAGTAGGCTAAAATTAACCCTCCAGCACGCACTCATTAGACGCAGAATTGCTTCCACTTCACGTCTTCTGTGTGGTATTGCACATATATAGTAGTAGATATTATTGTGGGCTCTACTTATGTTAAATACTAGCTATCTCCTGCGACTCCCTCCGCGCGAAATTAAAAAAAAAAATTAGTCTATGTGTCCAGACTATATGTTCTACATCCACGACAAATAACATCGAGATCCGTTAACATTTGATAGAGATACCTTCAAACAAACACCCATCCATTAATCTAAACATTCGCATTTATTATTATTAGTACGTCTAGCTGTCGCCCGCGACTCCATCCGCGAAGAATTAAAAAACTTCGTAAGTACCCTATGTGTTCTTCCAGACTACGTACTACATGTGTGCCAGATTTTATCAAGATCCGTTGAGGCGTTCCCGAGATATTTAAACATCCATCCATCCATCTAAACATTCGCATTTATAATATTAGTAAGATTGACAAACCTCATGAGTGACGTCACCGCCAGACATCATATATGTTCCGTTAAGTAAAATAACACATGATATAAACATAAAATTCTTTACCAACGAAGCTATGTCACGTACAGCTATCTAAAATTAATTAAAAAAAATTAGGCTTATCTGCCAGCACTACCTTTCGATCAAAACAAAAATTATCAAAATCTGAGAAACAGGAGCGGAGTTACGTGGTTAAAACATATAATATAGAGTCGAATTGATAACCTCCTTCTTATTGAAGTCGTTTAAAAATATAACAATTAAATTTAAAGTAATTAATTAATCTATATTTTTGATATTTATGTTTCGGCTGTCGCCCGCGACTCCGTCGACGCGGTATTAAGAAAAAAAAGAAGTAGCCTATGTTTTCTGCCAGACTATGTTCTACATGTATGCCAAATTCCGTCGAGTTATTATACGTTCAGCCATTCTGTTACCTTTAAACAAACATCCATCCATTTAAACATTCGCATTTATAATATTAGTAAGATACAAACCGTAACCTTCAGAAGACATATCACAAGCATTGTTATACTTTCCGCAACTTGTACAGTGTAAAGTTTTCCAAGAGACATTTGAATTTTCCGAGCACATCTAAAATGAATACACGATCATTATTCTAATAAAATTTTATATTTCTTATTCTATGCTTAATATTAGTAATAGAGAGCGTCGGTGACTCAGGGGTTCAAGCACTTGAATTGCAATCTGCAGGTCCTGGGTTCGAATCCCGCCATGTACCGATGTGTTTTTTCGATTTCCGACTTACATATGTACATTTATCCGATGCTCTTACGATGAAGGAAAACATCGTGATGCAATCTGCATATATCTGAGAAGATAATAAAAGATATGTGTGAAGTCAACCAACCCGCACTTGGCCAGGTTGGTTGAGTGGGTAGGCTCCGAGCCCGTCGGTGCTAACGTAGTAGTTGATGATGTGTGCTTAATATTATATGAAAGCAATTTAATCCATCTTAAATCTTCCTCTGAACACGATTTAAGTGAGTGTTTCTTCGAACTATACAATATTTATTATATTTTCTATTCCTCTTTCCAAAGGTTTACACGGAAAATCATCTTTAGTTGAGTTAGTTTTACGTTATTGTATATTTTAGGTTTTATTGAAAATCGCTGTGGTATCCACCGTCTCAGGGTGACGAAATAACACCTTTCTTTTGAATAAATTAATTTCTTTCTTTCTTTCTTTATGATTCCTAAATTATAAATTAAAAAGTATGTTCAATATGGATACAAATTAAGTAGACTAACACTGGATTAAAAATCTAGGTTGTTCCCCTATAGCTAAAATTATACAACTGAAATTTTAACTATAAATAATTGTACCGTGTAGACATAGTACAAGAAATAAGACAATTTTCCTTCTTTTGAAATTCATATTATTTTGTTACTTTTTACTGTATTTCGATTGAGATTTTTTTTGAAGTCGGTTTTTTTCCTAAAAATTGTCCAAAAAGAATAGAATTAAATGAAAATCATGGTAAGTAACACTGAAATTATCCCAATACCAACTCTCCCTTCTCCCTTATGAATAGAAATCTAGTCACTGCATAATCAATTTGACCATCGTTAAAATGGTGCACCGTATATTTGCGCAACCGTAGATTTAACCAACGTCAAGGCGCTGGTTATTGTTATAGTTAGTTGATGCAACTCACCCTTACCATAACTTTTAACTTACCTTAAAGCATCTTGATGAAGTTTAATACCGACGATAAAATTCTCTTCGAATAACTCATCCATTGAATCTTGTTTGCTTTTAGACAATTTAATCATTTCAATCCGACAACTGTTAAAATGATGACGAACTTCCTTGAATTTGTAACTTAAGATTACTAAGGAACAGAGAGATAGAGAGTCGATTGAATACATAATTGCCATCAGGTACCACCAATGGAATTGGACAAGGAACCTAAAGATGTTGACTGTGATACCGGAGCTTTCTCGATACGGCAGATATGTAACTTCTGTACGTATGGGTACTCCTGTAACAATTGATAGATGAAGCTATATTTCTTGGAAGGCATCTCCAGAACGGTTACATCTCGCTGATTTGAATCAAGCATAGATTTAGAACATAGTCTGAAAGAACACATAGGCTACTACTTTTTTTTACTTCCAATAAAATTTAACAATATGTTTTCAATGCTAAGGAATATATAGAAAAAATGTCCGGTAATGGATAATACGATTAATTTGTCTCGACTGCTTGTAATTATGCGTTTCAACACGCTACTTTAGACTAGCACAGACTAAGATAACTAGGGAATCAGTAGTTTAATAGTTTAACTCTTAGTTATCCCGAACTAAGCGGCTGATGAAGTTGTAGACAGCATTATTAACGCTACCATATGTCACAAATCAAGCAAGTTACTTTGTCTTCTAGAAAACAAAAAACTTACATCGTAAATTGAAAAAAAATTTCAAAACCAGAGCAAAAGGAGCGGAGATATTTGTAACATAAAAAAACAATCCAATTAATAACCTTTTGAAGTCGGTAAAAAGACATACCTTCTTGAAGATAATTTTGAATGCCCTCAATCGTTGCGCTAACGAGTATGACAAAAATATTGATGAGCAAGGACGTGCAGTAGTATCTAGCTCGCTTCATAGAAGATTTCTCAAGTGTTGTAAGATTACAAAATTTATTCCCTTCCAACAATATCTGTAGCGTATCCTTTATTTCCTTTCGTTTTATGTAGAACACCATTATTTTCGCAACTATCGATGGATGTGCGAAACTAAATAAAATTAAATCCCCTTTTTCTTTTATGTTTAAATCTTTACGTATATACGCTAAAAATTCGTTTAAAATCATAAGAAATATAAATGAATTTGCTATTATTACCCACAATACATATGTAGTTTTATGTATATTATTACGTTTCGTTTTTTCATACCAAAAATTACCCAAACCAAAGCAATATAATACATGACATATTATTTTTAAATAATATTTTTGTGGATGATATTCTTTTAAATTATTTTCCAACATCTTTGAATCGTAATTAATAATTAAGCTATTTTTTTTTGTGACTGAGTGTTCACTGTTTGCCTTGAACAGGCACAGCTTCACCGGGCGCAGATAGCGCTTAGCCTTAACCTTGTTTAAGAGTAACAAGACTCGAAGGCTCACTCAGGAGCATCGGCTCGGGTTACTACGTTGTTACCGGATTGGGGTTTAACTAAAGGAATCTCAGTCTTTTTATACGAAATTGATAATTACTTTAATTGATCAATCATATTTAAATACTTTCTAAATGCCCAATACTTCGTAATCAATTTTTATCGGTAATTTTTGGTGATAACTACAATTTTCAAAAGTTTTAATGGTTTTGGAAAGTAATTTGTAACTTTTTACCTTTAATACTTTAGTACCTGGATGACCGATCTTTGCTCGGTATATTTTTTTAATTGTGTTTTTTGGAAATTATATTTAACATTACATACTAAATTTTATGAAAATCGATGGAGCCGATTCCGAGATTCCAATTATATATAATTGAAAAAGAAAAGAAAAGAATTGCTCATTTGAAGATATAATATTTAATTACGATATGAAGTATTTAGTGTGTAATATACCTAGCGACAGGCAATATTTTTAATCTGTGACATGCATTTCGCTTGGCATAGTACAGGGATGGGTTCGCTGGGAGGCGGGGAATCCCGAACCCGCATTGCATGGTGTCGTCTCTGAGAAGCGCCTACGGGTGCAGCGCCCCATTGGGGGCGCATTGAGGAGCCCTATTCTCGGGCTGGTCAGATGGGGCGTCGCGGTGGTAAGTTAATACTATACCGTGGCGTCCCACATCAAGGCTAAGAGGGAACAGAGGGGTTTAGTGGGTATGGGTTCGCTGAGCTATCGGCCAACCTGCAGTAATGGAGAGGCATTAGAAGAAGACATGCGTTGCTTAAAAGGTGACATGATTAAGGTAATGACGTGAGATAAAATCATTTGCAAGGCGAAATTTTTTTGCTTAAAATACATAGAGTGGGTTCAGACGGGTTTTGTTACGAGCAATCGCTCGTAACTTTAACAGCACATAATTAAAAATAGCGTCTAACTGCCCGCATGCATTAGCTATCTTCCCGTCAACGTTAAAATCGGTCCAACAGTTCCGGAGATTACCTGAAACAAATGCGGTCTTGCGTACAGACAAACAGACAGACACATATTTTAAAAACAAACAATCATCGAAATATGATCGATTTATTATGATGATATGATAGGATTTTTTTTAAATATTACATACAGACACTTCCAATTTTATTAATATATGTGTTTTTAGACATTTATTAATTGCGATCCTTTGGCGCGAATGGCGCGCTTATATTGTAAAGTCAAGTGTCAGAAAGAATAGTGAGGGGACATAAACGTCGACATTTTTGTAAGGCTAGTGTTGTGCCAGTACACCGGCAGTGTCGGATTTTCTTCCTAACAGTATAAATGATTTACAAAATACTTGATAAGATTTGAATGTATGGAACATTTAGAGTTAGAAAGCGATGAAATTTATGCAATGGCTCCATTGTACGGAGTATATAACGTCATTAAATATGGCAGTTTTATGAGCCACATTTCATTTCTTTGCCCCACAACGAAAAGAATTCACCATAAATCTAACTCGATTCGTCTTTTAATGGAACAATTTTGTTATAAGTATTATCGTTTCATTTACATACATATTGTAGATGGATAAATTCTCTTTTTATTTTCGTATTTAAAATCTTAGTAATATAACAAAACTAACTGTACTCCGCGAATCCGTCCGCAGGGTGTTAACTTTATTAATAGTCTAAGTGTTCTTCCAGGCTATGTTTTTTTATATCAGACGGTGGCAAACTAGCGAGCGGCCACCTGAAATCGCTGAAATAGCGAAGTGTCCGTTGCCCATAGACATACGCAATTGCATATGCGTTGCCTACCTTTAATCGACGGAAGATAGGATGCACAGAAAGAAAATATTTTCCCCTTCCATGCATCCTCTCATCTGGAAAGTCCACTTCCACTTCCCATCCTTTCCTTATAACAATAAGGATGGGAAGGGAAAGAGGACTAAATTAGGCCTCCGGGACGCACACTCATCAGACGAAACGCGGAATAGCTTCCACTTCACGCACGTCTTCTGTGTGGATGTGGTATTTCACCGGGCGAGCCGGGCCAATTACGGCGAAGATGTTAAAGCGGGCTCTACCACTGTTCTTCCAGGCTATGTTCTACATCTATGCCAAATTTCAGTCAGATCCATCCATCCATTGATTCCAACATTTGCATTTATAATATTAGTAAAATCATCTTCTGAAATATTGAGCATACCCTGGAAGAACGCATAGATTATTAATAATGTTATTTTTATTGCCGCGAGGACAGATTCGGGGGCTACGGCTAGTTTATAATATTCTCCTCAAAATTTAAAATAATAATACGCATTTTAATGATAAACAAATAGTATATATAATGAAAAAAAAAACATTTAAAGATTACATGAAGAAGCTTAATTAATATGTTTTCTTTTCCATCAATAGAATTATATAAAAGTACTATACCTTGGTTGTATTTAAACTTTTTCGTAATAAATAAAAGAAAATACTATTATAATTAAACGGAATGAAAATAGAATAATTCTTGTTCATCCATTCCATCATTCCAACGTCTGCTCTAGTTGAAATCATTTGCATAAATTTCCACTATGAATGCAATTTCAATTTTTTGCAAATTAATTGTAACATTTTAATTTTAATTATATTATGCATTAAATTAAACCAACTTATTTTTTAAATCATTTTAAAAATTGTATTCCTAGTAGCTGTCGCCCTCGACTCGGTCTGCGCGGAGGTAAAAACTTAATAAGTAGCCAATGTGATCTTCCAGGCTATGTTCTACATCTGTGCCAAATTTCATTACGATCCGTTAAGCCGTTCCGGAGATATCTTTATACAAACAACCATCCATCTAAACATTCGCGCTTATAATATTAGTATGATGTATATAGAAAAAATAAATGAACATTTTTTTAAAGTTTATTACATTTAGATTCGTATACTTTTATAGCACTAGGTTTTTGCGGTTTAATTTTAAATTAACAGCCGCGGTGTCAACGGGTGGCCTACGGGTTAGCGTCGCGTAAACAACGATCGAGTAATTTCATCGTCGAACCCACAATTTACATTTTCTTAAAGTATGTCCGAGCGTTTTAATAAAAATTACATAACTTTATTATCTACAATATGTCGCTTTACCAATCGCAGTGAAAGTTGCAAAATCCATAACTCATATGACAAATGCTATGTCATTAATCCTGAAAGCCTAGTTCTAATCGCTTTCTCGACTAAGCGATGTTTTAATCCGAGTCAGTGAAAGGGAAGCTATTCCATCAGTACATAGTGACCGGAATTTGCAGACTGAATTGAATGACGAATCGATTAACGGATTGAGATGGCGGTGAGTTGCAATTTAGACGAATGATATTCCAAACGCTTTATTAAATAAATTTTACGTTGTTACATTTTATGTTTGTATTACTAACTGTGGGTTTCTGAGTTCAAAATTCTCTCTTTAAAATATATCGTTATATAACATATATTTGCGAGAAACTTCCTGCCTCGCACAGCAGCGTTGTGGAATGCTCTGTCCTCGGCGGTATTTCCAAACCTTACTTAGGGTCCTTCAAGAAGCGAGCGTATCACCATATCAAAGGTCGGCAACGCATTGCGATTCCTCTGGTATTGCTGATGTCCATGGGCGTCGTTGAACACCTCGGTTTTCCCGCTGCTCGTTTGCCCCCTTCTTTTATAAAAAATAAATTATATCGGCTTCCCGGTAATTATATTTTGTTTTAAACGGAGGTTTTCGTCTCAGAAACCCACGATAAGTAGTATCTCGAATATACTATAATCAGCAAAGTCAATTCGTCTGAAAATCATAATTTACGTACTAAGAGTATGAATTGTAGAAAAAAATCTTTCTAATAAAACTTTACAATTCCTCAAAAAAGGTCAGGGACTATATTATATTTGGAAATTCATACTAACCTCTACTTGACAGCCTTTAAAATGGAATTATATATCTGTAAAGTATATAAATTGGAAACTTTATTTCAATCATCATCAACTTACTATACGTCCCCACTGTGTGGCTCGGAGCCTACCCTAATTTACGGGCGACTAGGCCATAGTCAACAACGCTGGTCAAGTGTAGTTTGGTTGACTCAAACTTTATTTACTCTACACATTTTAAAATATCCGAATAATTCATAGAAGACTTTGAAAATTCAAAACTAGGACAATAAAGCTTAAACAAAGATAGATACGATTAACATATACGATGTACAACGTTTAATACACAAAAACAGCTATTTAAGCAGACTCCGGAATGAATTTAGCACTCACGAAACGGTAGAGTAAAAGGGATAGGATGCAAATGGTTTCAACGTCCGGCGTAGACTGTCAATGGACGTATAAACGATGCTAGAGCCAGAGATACCATGTTTAGGTACAAAACAGGCGTTTGAAGCTCGCTTTAGACCCTATTTCTACTAGCCACTATTGAGGATGCTTATACCATTTCCACTAGCCCGGCAGTCGTAAACTGCAGTCACACGGTTATGCGTGTGGAAAGGAGGTTATGACCAGTGTCGTATGACCATAGCTTAGTGAAAAAGAGTTTTTAGTCTCATAGATACTTGCTTCACATGTGTTTTGCTTAATGGTGGCAAATGAGCGAACGGCCACCTGAAATCGCTGAAATAGCGAAGCGACCGTTGCCGTTTTTTAATCAAATGCTTATTTCTTCAATCATCATATAGTCTTCTAAAATAATAGTGCTCTAATTCTATATTTCTTTGGTGAAGTTTTTGTGTAGACTATTTTATTTTATAGTACCTGGATGACCGGACCGAGCTTTGCTCGGTATTTTATTTTTAATTGTGTTTTTCTGGAAATTATATTTAAGTACGAATTACTAATAAAATGATGAAATATGAATAATATTTTTCG